AAGGTATTGGAATAAGAGATATCCCAAGCGGGATAATTTTCTTTCTTTCAATGCATCATGGCGAAACGCAAAATTTTCAACACGGGTAATTCATTAAGATTCTTATTTTGCAATTTTGCAAGGTTTTATTTTTTGTGAAGCGAACTAAAAAACAAAATGAGCCAGTCCCATATTCTTCTGCCAATGTGATTTTGAACAAGTCTCCATGCCATTTCATTGTGATTGGTTGGATCTACGTGGCGCAACATAATAGTAACATCATTCTCTACACGCGTCGCTATGCTACCCGCTTAACTTTCTTTAACAAATATACATACACACAATGGGAGAGACAAAGTCAGTTCAGATGCAGAATATATACTTCGGCCTGGGCAATGAGCCGGGAGTGCTCAAGTTTGCGCCCACCGGGTTAGGATGGAAAACGCCCGAGACTGATAAAGTCGTTACTGCATCTTCGGAAGAATTCAAGAAGATACAATGGCTGCGTGTTGCTCGTAATTATCAACTAAGAATACAATTGAAGAATGGAAATGTTATGAAGTTTGACGGATTTATAAAAGATGTATGAATCTTGTATTATGACATAGCCCTCAACATCCATACGTGTTTGCATAACGTTTGTTAATCTTTACTTTCTAGGACTATGATACTCTAAAAGACTTAATACGTGCTAATTTCAAACTGAACCTCGAAACCAAAGAACTCAGCGTAAAAGGATGGAATTGGGGGAAAACAGAATTCCAGGGATCACAACTCCTTTTTAATGTTGGCAATAAAACAATGTTTGAACTTCCCCTTAATCAAGTTGCCAACACAAGTCTTGCTAACAAGAATGAAGTAGGAATCGAGTTTATGCAGCCCGAACAGATGGATGAAGATGCTCAACGCAAAGGCAAACGACACACAACGCACGAATTGGTCGAAATGAGATTTTTTATACCGGGAACAACACTAGTCAAGAGTGGTGAAGATGGGGAAACGAGTCAGGTAGATAAAGAGAATGAAACCGAGGAGATGGAAGAGCGAAGCGCTGCTGCGGTAAGTTGCAGGATTTAGAGCGTATGCTATTGATATAAATTATATAACGACTAACACATAAACCGATTCGATTATGCGCGACGTAGATATTTCATGATACCGTCAAAGAATTGGCAGATCTTGGCCAAGTTTCTGGA